AGGGAATGCGCACGGAAACAGCGGAAAACGGGATAAAAGCATCACCAGCCAGCCAGGAAAACAAAACCCCTCCTAATTTTCCAAAGTAAATCATTCCACGTGCTCTCTTTAATGAGTATAATTTTAAAGCAAATACCTCAAAAAAACATGCTTAAGGTACTCATAATAAGTAATTGTTCTTGCAGCTGCGTTATAATGTGAAAATACTTTTTATCGGTGTCCAGTACAAAGGGAAATTCCCAAATTTAAACTCGTGAATATATGGGGGTTTTTGCCTTTCATCTTGTTGGATTTCCCCTACTCTTCATGGGAAGGCATTTTTTTAAAAGTTGGTCATTAAAAGAGTTGGAGAAGCTGTGTTTTGGTATGCACACTTCTATTTTAAAATTATTATTAGATGAGCTTACCCTCAGTTGAAAAAGCAGAATGCAAGTGCATTTTGTGCATGCCGCACAATACAAGTCTGCACTCTCAAATTTTTCAAAATACTCTTCCTACGTATTAATGCTATGGGAGAGGAAAATGTCTTACTGTATATTACAAGGTGCAGAGTTTGTCCCTTTCATTAAGGAAGCCCTTTGTGGGCGGACATGAAATGTTTAAAGGTGAGATGCAGGCACTGGAACACAGAGAACATGAAAATGTACAACTGTGTCTGCTGGGTCGGACATGGAGTCTGACTCAATGCTGTGTCTCCAATTGTGGCCAAAAGAGGATGCCCAAGGAAAAATATTAGGACTACAGAGAGCGCCTTTAATGATACACTCCTCTCCCAGTCTCCAACCATCTGGAGGGACTTCTCAAGGCAGGGATAGTGTCTGGTTATTTAGTAATCCTTGCTGGTTCCCTCTCATGAACTTGCTGGTCTCCCCTTGAACTCACGTGAACTTCTTGAATCCATGACATGCCGTGGCAAACAGCTGCTCAGCGTAACAACACGTGTGGTTTTGTCTGAAACCTCCCATTTTATCTGAACCTTCTATCTGCCAGTACCATTTGATGCCACTTTTGTACTGGAAGACACAGCAAGCAATCTATCCCTAGGCATCTACTCCAGAACACTCATGATTTTTATGACTTCTGTGTCTCTTAAGACCATTGTTTAGCCAACATGATGATCCCTACCCTCACAGTTCTTCCATGTACAAAGCTCTTTCGTTCTATAACAGAGTTTAATGTCTGATTTTTTTTCCCTTGAGAAAAAGGGCATGGGGAAATGGAAATGAGTATCAAACATTCGGCCCAATTGCCAAAAAGTAAGAAATCAAAGATTCCATATTTTAATTAGACAAAAAAAGAGTAACAGTTGCTCAACACCATAGACATGATGGAGTAAAAGTTATGATACTTTCAGGATACAGCTTCCAGAAGTTTGCTCCATCTACATAGCAATTTTGTCAGATTCCAAAGTACAGCATTGTTTCAGAGGAGCAATCATGTGTTTTTGGTTTAATGTCCATCATCACCTCTGATCAACCATATGAGAGTCAAATTCCATGTTGCTGGATCCTGAGGAAGGCTGACTTCACTGACACCTTTTTAACGTATTAGCAGCAAGTGGGTGATCTTGCAGATGAAGCCATTCACAAAAGAGCAGGAGAACAGGCTGAATCAGTTCAGTCTTCCTCAACTATCCTGCCAATGTGTCTCCAGCTGCATGCCATGCAGCACACAAAGCTAAGGTCTCATTCCTTCTGATTCCTGTTCTCCCCACTCTGTGTGCCAGCATATGGCAGTCAGTATCCTTCTGGGGGTAACAATTCCTGTACTGTTCTCAAGACTTGCCTCTCTAGCATTCAGCATGAACCACCTCTCCAATAAATTACCTTGAATTTTTACTGTACCACTGTATAAACAGCAGGAGATGTCAAATAGATCTGCTGGTAGATGTTGGTATGCTTTGGTTTGGCTCTCACATTTATTGCCAATGAAGCCCTCAGAATTCCCTTTACATACCCAAGAAGAAAATCCTCATATTCATTGTTATCTTGAAATGCCCTGTTTCAGTAATCGGAAATTTGAAGACTTACAGCAACACAAAAGAAATGTTATT